AGAGAATTTCGTTGTCCAGATATCAATGGTTCAAGATTTAATTTAGACTTAATGTTAGAAACGATGTCATGAATATCTAGACAAAAAAGGAAAGAGCCAAAGAATTTCCTTGTTGAATTCGCTCTTCTGAATTCAAACACTGTCCCTAATAACTACAAAAAAATTCAGTCCATAACAGAAATTTATATATAATGTGAGTAGTCAGAAAACCCTTCAGAGAATTTTGAGGAGAAGGCAGGTGGTCTATAATGCATTTTTTTTAAATCAATTTCATTTTAAAATTTTAATTTTGATTATTTAAAACTTCAAAATTATATTGTATATAAATATTATCAAGAAGATTATTAATATCAAGGTCATTAGATGATGCTGTAAATTTAGTATTATAATTTTCTTGTTCAATATTCGTAGCTAGGGGCTGGAAACAATACCCATTTTCTTGTTTTACAATTATCCCTTTCAATTTTGTAAACCAATAAAAGCAATTTTCAGCTCAACTAATTATGATTGACATCATCACTTTTTGTTATTTCTCAGGTTGGAACGTAAATTTATTTTTCTGATAACAATTTTTATATACTAATTTAGAATATTGTTATCGAAGTATTAGACAACATATTATGCTGATTCTAATGAGGGAGATAAAACAAGAATATGCATCTACCTCTAATTAAGACGAAATATTATAATATGGGATTATTTTATAAGTTGAGTTAAAAAGAAGGAGGGTATATGTAATAAGTGCAGAAAAAAATTATCTCAATTTCGAAACATAGGGTTTATGGGCCATCTTAAATCAATACATCCAACATTATAAACAGAATAGTCATAATACCAACAAAAGGCAGTATAAAAATTAATATTTACACTTTTTTAATCCATAAAACTAATAATAAAACCAACTTATATGTTTAATTATAAAATCTAATGGAAAATAACTTCGTCTTCTCAGATTCATTTTAATATTTAAAATTCTAATATATAAATTTTTTTAAATTAAAATTCATGAAAACGATTAATAATTGTGTGATAGAATGAAGAGGATCCAAAAAAATATGTAAAATTTTTGCTAAAAATAAATTTTTAAGTTTTCAATGCAAATAAGATTTTCATATCCTAATAAGCCTTTAAAAAAATTTTTTCCAGAAACTGCTTAAAGGTGAACCAAGAAGATTAATTACACTTCCAACCAATACCAAAACTTGGAGCAGATTTGAATTAAAAATCTATTTCAGATTTTTCTTTGTTTAGACCAAGACCCATTTTTTCGAGAATTCAGCTCTCTATGATTTATCGCAGCCAAAATATTTAGATGGTAAACAAATGGTGCCATCATCCGAATATCTTATATTTATGTCTAAGTTAAAAAATAGTTTTTAAAGAATGGGTTTAATCATGTTTGACCAAGTTAAAATGAAGCAAAATCCCTTGGGCCTCCTCGTTGTATATGCTAATCAAAAGGAATTGTATAACCCCCAAGTTTGAGAGGGGTTCTTCAGTCATCTGACTATATATTGAATATTAAATACACTGAAAATTTTCACGAAAAATGTTCAAAAATACTTTTCTGTAGAATTACTAGCATATGCAAAGATTGGGCAGTTACCTTGCATCCTGCTTTAGTACCAAAGGCTAGTTGATATGTTTGGAACATTTTGGAAGAATCAGGGTTAATGCACAATTATCTTAGCTATTATTCACCTAAAAAATGAACCTATTTCAATGGGCTGACCTCAACATCAGGCTTAGATAGTGCAAACAATTCTTTCATGAAAATAGTTAATTAACCTGGATAAATAAATCGTTGTTTGATACAGTTTCGCTAAGTATATTATCAATAAATTTACAAATGTATCCTGAATAGGATTTTTAAGGTTAATTATTGAAATAAAAGGATTGAAACCCGTCAAGGCCCCCTATTTTTGTCAAAATATAAAACTGTTTTAATCAGCTCTTCCTTGCCTATTTTGATTAAAATAGGGGTGTGGAGAACAGCAGAAGCCTTGGGATGCATTACTTTTAATACAGTAAAAGAAATGTTTACCTAGAGTCAATATTTTATTGGATCAATTTGAGAGCTCAACATATGTTCCTTTGATCTATTTTTTTTAAAGTTATTTTACATTTGTGAGCAAAATTAGAAGTGGTTTTTACATCAGGCAAGTAATTCTTCATTCCTTAGTGATAAAAAAGTTCAATTCTATTTTAAATTTGATTATTTAAAAAATAATTTTTTTATCTGTCGGTTAATCAAAACTTAGCAGGGAATAAAAGATCTTTCTTTGCTTTAAGAGATATCAAATATAAGCTAATTCGGAAGGACCAATGACATATATAATACCTAGACTGACGATTCATTCATTATAAGTGTACATCAATGCAAATCAGCTGGAAACGCCATCTGATTTGCACTAATTTAAATTTTCAACGAGAGCCTAATTTATTCCTATATCTGATGCAAACTTTATTAAAGAATTACCATATCATCGAGATAATAATGAAGCAAGTTATCAATTTAATATTAGTTTTTAACATGAGAATAATTACTATATGCGTTACTAAAATAGCGGGTCCACCTGATTTGCTTTTAACGAAGCCTAAAGATGCATTTTAATAAATGAATTGTCAGTCTAGGTATTATATATGTCATTGGGAAGGACTTAATGATCAATAAATTTGTAGTTGGATCTAAATTACGACTGATATAATCATCGCAAATAGTATCACTCGTTTGGGTGGCCAGTTTAGATTCCATATTATTTATTTATTTTTTATAGAGAAATATGATTGATGGATGCCTGTCCAGGAATATAAAGTTTAATAAATAAAATGAATATAATTGGTAATTTAAAAAAATATGAAAGTTTAAATATTATTTTTAAGTAAACTAATCAAAATTGACCACAAGAATATAATCCATAAAAAAGAATGACTTTTACATTTCTTTATTTATATCATCAGTGTCTACATAACTATAAATTGATGGAAGCAAACTCCCATTAAATACCTACTTAGTCATCCAAAGATATGGAATGCCTTTATCTGATATTTATGTCAATAATTAGTGAATATTTTATATTTTTAATGGATAGATTATTGAAAAATATTATCAGAAAAATAAAAATATATGACAAAATTGATATAAAGTTAGAACGAAAATTATAAATGCAATGAGCAAGGGCCTACAAATTCATCTATCATTTTTTCTAATCAGAAAATAAAAACCAGTTAGAAGTGAAATAAAAACATGGCACATCTATGTTTGAATCTTAAATATCTAATTTTAAATTATGATTCAAAAATTAATTATGTCGTAATACATCAAAGTGTTTCACCGATGTAAGATATTTTCGAGTTTTTTCATTTTATGATCTTTATATGTTTTGCTGTTCTTTTATGTTTATTTAATAGATATTTAACAATATAAATTATATTATATTTCGGAGTTATGAGAGGGAACTCAATCTCGTGTTTACGCCCAGGCTTGTAACCATGGGGGAAGGTGAAAATTCCCCTAATCACGAATTAGCCTGTTCTCGTAAATATCAAGTTAAGCTAATAAAATTTTTTCTCTAATGCCCCCACCCAGCGTCTACATGAGCGGGAGGGGTAGGAACAGTTTGCATCCTATTTTTTGAGGGGGTAGGGGGTAAGCTGCTTTAATGGGGGTAGGATAAATTATTTGGGGGGTTGTCTATTAAAGTTTGAGATGAAATAGGACAAAATTTATTGCTGTAAAAATTAATACTTTTATTATAGTATTATTATAATACAATTCATCGACCAAATCTATATATTGCAAACAATCATACACATTGTTTTCCAAATAAACTATCCTTTTAAATGTAATTTAAAAGGTTTAGATATTTCAGCAAGCTCATAATGGCATAATAATTAATTCATTGTAAATAATGGAGGTTTTAATTGAATTTTTTATCTAAAAAATGTAAATAATGGAGGTTTTAATTGAATTTTTTTCTAAAAAATAAATTCTATTGGGGAAAAAAAGAAAAGAAAAAATTAATTGTTGAAAAAAAGTTTAAGAAAAAAATAAAACTAAGAAAAATATAATTTTATATATTTAAAGTCTAGTAAAGGCAAAAAATAAATATATATATATACTGATAACCAATTTGTGAAAGTTACCCTTTTTAATCATTTAGAAATAGATGAATTATTTTTTAGATCATCCTCTTTTACAATGAATGCATTGGCATAAATATGAGTTTGCTGAGAACTAACCCTATTCAATTACAAACGATAAGAGAAAGTTTAATCTGAAAAATAATGTCTATGATTTGTTTGCAATATATAGAACTTCTATGATTTACAAAAATGTGGCTATTTTAAAACACATAAAAATAAAAATGTGATCCCTCAGAAGTGGTTGGTTCACATATTTTTCTTCCTCTCATTATACCAGAAGTAACCGTTAGTTCACATATATCTCTCATCATGAATATCGCAGATGTTACTGGTTCAAATATCTCTATCTCTCATGGTATAGATGAACCCACAGCGAAAAATAACAGTTAAAAATAGTTCCTTTAAAAATTTAAGCACAAACTTGGACGATATTGGTGAATAACTATTGTAGATAACTGATATTTTGCGAATATTTTTGGTTTATAAGCTCAACAATTTAATTTTCCACTAAATTAAAATGGTAGACATTCTGATTCATTCAATATGCGAAAACTTTCCGATAATCATTAGTCTATTTACGTTGGCTAGTGTACTGAAGAAAGATGTAATATATTCTTTTTTTTGTGAACCTTTTTAAAATTAGTAAAAATTTCAAATTAAGGCTATAATGGCTGGAAATATTTCTCGTTGTGAAAATTTTCTAATAAGTTTAAGTAAATTGTGTTTTTTTAACCACCAAAATATTTTTTGCAATGTGTCGCCTAAGTCTTGGTACTTACAAGTACTCTCAAAATATTTTGGAGCTGCAATTCAAATCTACAAATCATTTTCTTTATTCGGCATTTTGACAAACTTATTTATTTACAATGGCGGGATGCCTCGATCATATGAGGTTCAATCTAGAATTCTTAAATTTAGGCGAAAGACGTAATATTGTAGCATCTATTATATCTGGAACATTAGTATATAATAAATATATACCTTAGTGTTCTTAATGCCCAGTATATAAAGTTTTTTATAGGATGGTGGATACTAATAGATGCATCTGCTAAATATCCTAGCAAGCTACAATTTAATCATTCATATCATGTTTGTGGTGTAATAGGCACATTCGCTTTGTTCATGTACTAAACTTCTTAAAAAAAATACATTTTATTTAATCCTAAGGGTCAATTCAATATCAAATCAACAAGTATTAGGTGATTCATATTCCTCAGGATGCATGGGACAGAGAGGTTATAACAAGTCCAAATCATTAATCATAATTTGTAAAACAATTTTAGGTGCAAAAGCATGGCTATTTTTAGGATTTCTTTTGGCATTTGCAGCAATCATTTCAGCAACCTGGATATTGTTTGGTGCTTATGTTATACCACGTAACAATTTTTTTTGAATGACCTAAATATGCAATTTAAATAATAGAAAAATCACCGCAATGGCCAGGTGTTGCTGTATTTCTGCAAAATATTGCAATTTTTGCTAGGTATAATTTAAAAAAATATATGATAAATCTATGTATAAATTAGTTGCCTGGTATTTAAATTTATGCGAGCTGAAGATCAATTTTGACAAAAAATTAATACTAAATCCAGATATGCTTTTAATAGTTGAAAATATTAAATTTTTATATGTTTGGTAGGTGTCTATTTATTTAATTTTAGCATATTATATAGTTTAGTAATTAATTAAATATAGATATTAAATTTATTTTATGCAAAAATGTAGTAGAAATATTTACAAATTTTAAATATATTTTTTGTATAACCATTCTATTCAAAAAACATTTGAATTACTTAATATTTCTTCCTATCTTTAAATAATTAAAATTTAAATAGAATTGCTATAATTTTATTAATTATATATTGCATCTTCTTTACTTCTATCTTATAAAATATAAATACTATAGTAAATTTTTTCTTAGTTTTAATTATTTATATATCTTTGCTAATGTTAAAAAAGCACTGATAAATAGATTTCCAATAAAACTATTAAGTTCAGCTTAATCAAAAATTTTCTTGTAAACATTTTCTTTTTTGTTTAAAATTTTTCCTTAATAAACTATTATTAAGGCTATATCTAGTGTTGTTAAAAAGCCCAATTGGGGTCGATTTTAAAAAACGGCCCGATTAAGATTATAACCAAATTAACATTTTGTAAGCCTAAAGATTTTGCACATTGGTAGCAGTAATGCTTGGACATCTATTTCTCACTAAAACTTGTCTTTAAGCTTTAAGAATGACTAAGATTAAAATTAACATTTTACAAAATTTGATGAATCTTTTTAGCCACTTTGCATGTTTTTCTATAAGTTTTAAACATTGAAAATTAATTTGTGTGTATATATCCTTAAATTTTTTTATTATAGTTCATTTATCTTTAAAACATGTAAACAAAATATAAAAATAAAATATGAATATATATATATATTAAAAGTGAATGTATATTTTAAAAATATTGATGGCTCTAAAAAGAGCTTATATTAATAATGTTCCTAAAAAACAGGTATAATTATAGTTTTTACAAAAGAAATTTTGAAAATAAAAGTACGCAAGTCTTTGTTTAAATTTAAACGATATTATTTGAAAGAAAAGAAAAAATAAATTTATTTATTAGCGATTTTTTAATATAGCCTTCCAAATATTTAAATATGACCATAATATAAAATTAACATAAATGTCAATTAAAAATTATTTTTTTTACAATAAACGCCAACTATCGGACAAAAATATATTGTATTTTATGATTTAATAATAACTTTTGAGGGTATAAATAATACATGTTTATTTTTTTCTGAATAAAAAATAAATTATTTTCCTAATTATTCTGTTTTATAACACTATAATTTCTTACTTTAATAAAGTTTACTTACTCTCTTGTCTTGTTTGCAATAGTAATCATTATTCAATAAAATTTTGGGAATTTAAATACATATATATTGTAAATAATTGCATCAAATAAACAGTTTTTTTATTTAAATAATGATAAATTGTCAGAGAATAATTTTTTAAATTTAAATATATCATCAATTTTCATAGCATTAGTTTGATCCAAAAAGGATTGATAGAATCCCATCATATGATGTACATCCTTAATCTTTTCCATTTTGTTTGAATCTAATATTTCTATTTTTTTAAATAATATATAGTGTTATTTATTATTTTACCTTTTAGAATCTCTGTTCTTTCAGATTCTATAACTTTTAATTTTTTTCTTTTAAATATAGGAGTTGGAATATTTTTAATGATAATTGGGTTTTCATTCTCTTTGTTTGTGGTATCTTGATCTAACTATTATTCAATAATAAATATAAAATAATAGTAAAATAATGTACAGCATCCAATTCAAATACTGGATTAGCAATTTGATTCAGATATGATTTTGCCTAAAAATAAATTACTTTTTAATACAAATATAAAATAATACTGTTCCCAGATGGCTATTTTCATATTCCTAATTAAAATCAATTTTATATTTTTGTCTTTTAATATTTTACATTTGTCTGTGTCAATATCAAGCTTGACTCAGAAAATTTGGTAATATTTTCAACATTTTCCTTCTACCATGAATAATTTTCAATATATATGACATCTTTCCCTTTAAGAACTCCAGATCCAGAACCTAAAATATAATATAATTTAAAAATAAAATTTTTATTTTTACCTGATTTTTGTTGGGTGAGAAAATATAACTTATTAAATTTAGCCTTTACTGCTAAAAAATTTTTCTTCACTTGATCATAATTCAAGCTATATGTTTTTCCTATTTCCTCCCATATTCGCTTGTTTTCTACAGATTTCTAAATTTTAGGTCACTTTTACACCAGAGGCTTCTGTGCTCTCTGATGCTCTCCATAAAATTATACTCAGACACTAAAAAATATAATAATATATAAAGAATTTGCCTAATTTCTATAGAATCTCTATTTAATCACATAAGGTGATGTCAAAATATTAGCTCAATAAAACTTAGTAAATATTTTCTATATAAATAGTCAATATCTTAATAAATCATACCCTATTATTCTTATTACATTAATTTCTAAAGTTAATATTGGCTAAATTATGGTAAAAATAAATTGCAAAGGGTTTGTTTTCAATTGATCATAATTGAAGTTATTTGTTTGATTTTATTTCAAACTTTTTTCATAGTCCTGGCCTTTCCTCCCAAATTTGCCTAATTTCTATACGTGATACGTGATATATAGCGCATTCGCCCTCTAACGTTGAATATACAACAGAGCAACGCTAGGTTTTCCTCATTTCCATCTAATTGGAATTTATTAATTTAAGGGGGGAAAAAAATATGAGAAGCCCTCCACACGTTTGTGGGCAAGCCGCACGTACTTGTACGCACAACATTCCTGAGAAATGTTATTAAAACGTCTATAGGCTTAGAGGAAAAGTGCGGGACCAAAAAATAGCCTACACCCAAGAACTGCTTTTAAAATTAATTACTTTAAAGGTGGGAGGTGGATAATTTAACTTAAAAAGCTTTACTGTAAGTTTATTTATTTTAGAGGTAAAAAAGAAAAATACTTTCGAGAGGAATAAATCCACAAGAGAAATCGAGGAAGAAAAGTAAGAAAAAGGTATTTGAATTAGAGATCCCTAGGAACAATTTTCATCTGAAATATCTATCTTTGATGCGAAAGAGTTGTCTAATAGACCTTTTGCAATTATTAAGCTTTATAAATTGTTTCATGTTTACATTCAGCTCCATCACGTCTTTTATAGCTTTGTAATACCATAACGATTTATATTTAGTATACTGTTTCCCTTTATGTGTATATAACCAAACGATAGCATCATGTGCAAGGTTGTGATCTGAATTTCTTATATGGGCTAGGAACTGTATCCGACGTTTTTTTAACGTAATATTTATCGGAGTATGGCTAGATTTCTTCCAGAGGTTAGAGTTAGAGATGACTCTGGGATAAAAAATACCATTTTAGTTCTCAAACAATTATTTATAAAGGATTGAATGCGTCTTAAGTCAGTCTTGTTAACTTCCCATATGTCACTTCCATATAATAAAATGGGGATAATAGTAGAGTTGAATAGCCTCAACCTCATAAAAACCGATATTTCTTTAGACTTCCAGATTTTCATGTACATGTAGAACGCTCTTTTGGCTTTTTGCGTTCTAATCTTCATTTCCTCTTTACATTCCCCCTTGTTATTGAGCATCACACCCAGGTATTTGATATTATCTACTTTTTTGATAACATTCCCGCCTACCAAAAGATTGTGGAGTGGTGGTGTATTTGGCGAGGAAAGAATAACCGTTTTATTGAAATTAATTTTTAAACCAACTCTGAGGCTTATGGTTTCGATAAGGTAGATCAGATTTACAGTCTCTTCAATATTTTTTGATATTACAACAATATCATCGGCATACGAAACGATCTTATTAACAAAGTGAAAATTTACATTAGACCCAAAGTCAGCCAAGTCTGCAGCAGCATTCACCTCCTTTATGACTTTATCTATTATGATGTTAAAGAGAAGTGGTGATAAAGTGCAACCTTGTTTTATTCCCTTTTTTATCTTGAAGAAGGGTGATATTTTATCTGTTTTAAAACATGAAGATAATTTGGAATAATGATTCCTTAAGATGGAGATAATATTTTGTTCGATACCACATTCTGATAGTGCTACCCATAAGGCATTATGGTCTACATTATCGAAGGCCCTACTAAAATCGATAAAAGTGTAATAAGACGGAATCCTGTATTTCCAGCACTTTTGCATGATTATTTTCAGCGATAAAATAGGTTCCAAAATGTTTTTATTTGGCCTATATGCACAGATATATTTAGAAAGAAGATGGGGTGTAGAAGTTAAGATCCTGTTCTTGATGAGAGTCATAAAGACTTTCGATACACAGGAGGTCAGAGCTACTGCCCGATAGTCCGCGAAATTCTTAGGTTCCTTAATTTTCGGGAAGTTGCACAGGAGAGATTTATTCCATTCTGTCGGAGTTTTCCCACTTTCCCAAATTTTGTTAAAGAGAGCAAGGAGAAAAGAAGAGATTATGTTCGGGGATATTTTTAAATATTCAGCAGTAATGTTATCTAAACCCGGAGCTCTATTGTTCCGTAGTTTCTTTACGATGTTCGAAATTTCATTTGAAGAGAAACCAGCCGGAGATATAATTGTATGAGAGTTCATAGTAGTTAAAGGAGTAGCCTTGCGGGAGTCAAAAATCGACATATAATGATCCAGCCACAGTGCCATTTGCTCATCTTGGTCTGTTATGGTTTTCCCATTCGCTAAGACAATTATAGGAAGTTTCACGAAGCAACTGGATTTGCAGAAGTACTTTAATTTTTTATATGCATCGTAGATCCTGTTCTCTTTCATATCTTTGTCAATGTCAGCCGCCCTTTTAGCAATAAAAATTCTCCTATCTTTCCGTAGTAATCTTTTAATGTCTTTCCATAAATCAATGTTAGAGCTGTTCGTCATTCTTAGTTGATATATCTTCTCAAGAGTTTCATCAGACATCCATTCCTTCCTAGATACAAGATTTACGTTTGGCAGTCTCTCATAAGATTCCGCTAGTTCTTTCTTAAAAAGTTCCCAGCAAACTTCAACGTTTCCATTTCTGGTAGCATTAATAAAGGTTCCTTTTTTCGAAATAAGGGATTGTTCAAAGAGAGTTTTGTTTCCTTGCAATAGAAACTTATTTGCTTTACGTGGAAAAATTATATTGGACGAGGTAGCATTGACGGCCATTAAGTTAGGAATAC